GATGGCGCTCGGCTCGATCGGGGGTCGCGCTTACCGACTCGCCCTACATCCCCCCCTTCTCTCCCCCCATCCGTGAGCGTCATGGGCCTACCGTAGCGTTTCTCGATTACGTCGATTGACCAACGCGAACGCCGCTTCGGCCGTTCGCGAGAGTTCCTCGCTAGCTACCTGAAAATTCCACGTGAGTCACGTTTTCGGCCATTTTCGCGCAATCGGGCTATACGCGCGATCGGGAATATCCGCGAGACCGCATCGCGATTTGCGCATAAGGCTAAGCGTAACTGCGTCTAACTCGCCGTTTCCTGGTAATTCATAGTATTCCTGAAACAGCGACAAAGCGCGACGCAGAGATGTCGCGTTATTGGATGATAACGATTCTGCATTGTCTTTTAGAAAACCGTACGCGCGCAGGAAGCGAAGCGCCTCGGCCTTTTCTGAATCAACGGGCGCGGCGGCCGTCGCGGCGACGAGCGTCGTCGCTAAGACGAGAAGAACCGTCTCCGCGTTAATCATCGCGCGGAGCGGGGAAAGACGCGAGAAAAACTATCGAGAGACGCCGGGCGCGATTGATTGGCGATTGGTTCGGCGAGATGCCGATTTTTATCGTTGACGAATTCGGCGCGGGTGGGGGAAGAGGAAATGCGATTCGTTCGAAAAAGAGTCGCAGTTCGCCCCGATTAGAGGGACGCGACCTTTCGACGGTGAGCGAACTGGGATGCGCGTTATCTAGCGGACGCTCGAGTTCCTCTCGCGGTTTTACTTTTTTATTATTTCTATTTTTATTATTCGTTTATCTTCTAAGAAGTTATCACATTATTTTTTGTTATATATTTTCCTCTATAATCTATTTTTATTACTTGTTTATCTCCGCTCGTACCGCGGCATCCGCGTGTCGATCTTTATAAACGCGAGATCATTTCGAGAAGCGTCAAAGTATTCTCGCTCGCGAAATAGTAAAGTGACTAGTCGACGAAGCGCGAAACGGTATAAGAGCAAAGTGGCAAGGTGTGAAATAACAAGAATTAAAATCAGTCGCGAACTACTCGATATGGAACGAATCGAGCAGATAATTAACGCGGCCGATTATATTAATGTGAACGGCGATTTAATTGCAATAAAGGCTTACGTTTTGGGAGATCTCGCCTCGGATTTGCGCGAGGAGGCGCGAGGCATTATCGAGAACAGTCCGGATTTGCTCAAACTGAACTTCCCTGCCGAAAATGGTCGATTAAAACGGATTTAAAAAAATGTAATCCGAATCGATCGGGATTTCTGCACCGAAAATGCGGTATTAAAACCGATTGAAAATAGTCAAATCGAATTTAGTACGCTTCAGGCGAGATTCTCTCTGCGGTGTAACTATATGCGGTAACTAAACGCGTAAGCGAGTGTCTCAAAGCGGTGTAACTATATGCGGTAACTAAACGCGTAAGCGAGTGTCTCAAAGCGGTGTAACTATATGCGATAACTAAACGCGTAAGCGAGTGTCTCTCCGGCTCCTCACGAGCGGGCCCTTTTATAGCGGTTCTTTAATCTCTCGCTACCAATGAATTTGAATTTCCGACACTAATCAGATAATCGAACACTTTTCTGACGGACATATGTATAAAATAGGAGATGCGCGAGCTATTATCGTGGAAAAGGATACGCGACCGCGATAAAAGAAAAACCCGGTTCGTTAGTATAGCGTGTATTTTGCGACAGTATGACGAATACATTTATTAAAGCTTAAAATAAATGATTAAATTTATAGATTATATAATTCACTCGGTACATTATATATAATTAAATTTGTAAACCTAATAACACGCTGAGAGGTACGCAAAAGTTGAAATCGTTGATCGACGAATGAGTTGCCGCTGACAAATCCCATCCGGCGTTTTTTAATATCTTGCTTTTTTCGACTGACAGCGACGCGTAATTCTTAATCGTGCTAGTTATCCCAACATTTCTGCTTCGATCGATTTCCACACCGTCGAGTTCGTAGCGAATCTCCTCGAAGATAAACGCCGCGCAATTGTTCACTAGCCTCGTCAGTGACGCAGTTCCCTCTTGCGCACTCGGCGATTCTTTAGACTCGAGTCTACCTTCTATGTAAAGAAAACTATCACATGGTAATGTGTACAGATCTTGCTGTTGTATAGGAATTCGTATCTCGTCGCTATTCCCAAACGTAGTATTAGCGTAAGGATTGTATGTGTGAGTTTCAATCTTGACGATACGATCGTCGAAGATCGGCTCCCCGCCGATGCTTACTTTTCCTCGTAGCGGTCGTCCTCCTTTTGCTCTTCTTTCTCTTGATTCTCGTCGCGCCCATTCCAAGTTTTGTTTTCGATTTCATAGCTATCCATACAGCCCTCGCGGCGGCTCTCTCGCCGAGAGTCGAGTCTTTAGCGGCGACGCGCTCGCGCGCTCTCTCAGCGAGCGCGCGGTCAGCGGTGTGTCGATCGGTGAGCTCGCCGCTCCGCGAGTACGCGATATCGTGCTCGCGGCAGGCCGCGTCCAGAGGATTGATGCCTCGATCGCCTCGCGCTAATCGTTTCGCGAGACGAGTACCCGGCCCGCAAAATTGATATCCGGGCGATCGCGATAAGGGTGACGAATCTCGATAGTAGGGCGCGACCGTCTGAGGAAGCGCGCAGACACGGTCGTCTATTCCCGAGCGCTATTCGCTGCCTCATTTGCGGTCCCTCTAATTGTGGTAAAACGAACGCGCTGATAAGTTTGTTGGAGAGCCCGCACGGTGTACGCTTCGAGAACGTTTACGTTTACTCGAAGTCATTGCAGCAGCCTAAATATTAGTATTTAGAGAATTTATTGGCATCGATGGAAGATATAGGTCATTTCACATTTTCCGGTAACTCTGACGTTATTTCGCCTAGCGAAGCGCTCCCGAGTTCTATATTCGTATTCGACGACGTAGCGTGCGACAAACAGAATACTATTAGAGAGTACTTCGCTATGGGTCGACACTCGAATATCGATTGCTTCTATCTGTGCCAAACGTACGCTAAAATGCCAAAGCATTTGATTCGAGATAACGCGAATCTGTTGATTCTTTTTAAGCAAGATGGCACTAATTTGCGTCACGCATACAACGATCACGTGAACACGGATATGTCGTATGAGAATTTTCACGCGCTATGCCGCGCGTGTTGGCGATATAGATATGGTTTCCTAGTGATTGATAAAGATAGCGCGCTTAGCGCCGGCAGATATAGGCGAGGGTTTAACGATTTCGCCGTACCATAGAGCGATCAGTCGTCGCGAATACGTCGAACGCATCGATCGCTCTCCCTCCCGCGAGCGAGAAGAACCGATTTATTAATCACGATGGCTGCGACGGATATCGGTGAACGAGAGAAGACGGCGAAAGAAATCGCTAAGACACACGCATCGATTCGTAAAAAACACAGAGCGTTAAAGACCGGCAAAATGGAGAACGAGATCGCGATGGAGAGCCGTTTTAAGCCAACCGTCGACCCGCTGCGGCGCATAGCCGAGCGCGCCGAGCGAGACGAGATCGAGCGAGACGAGATTAAACGCGAAATGATAACGCGATCGACGCTTCGCTTGTAACGACGAGCGTCGAGGAAAAATGGAAGGAGGAAGAGTTGAGCCCCGCTTGGAAAAAACCTGAAGTGAAACGAATACGAGCGCGACGATGGCTAGGACCGTTGGGACGAAAATACTTGGGGGCTCTTTTCGGCGGAGAAGCGCCAAATGAGATCGATCACGTTTACGGAGTGTACATGAGCGCGAAAGGCGCGATGCTTGGCAATAGGCGATTCAATATAGATGCGGATGACTCCATAATTATGGATGAAATTAAATACATCGGTACTCCCGGTTTATACGAATTAATCTTCATGAAAAATCCTGATAGTCTCACATATACGGAAAAGGATAAATTAACATACAAGAGTATACTGTTAACAACGAACGCTCATAAACGCGACCATGACGCTAAAAATCTGTTTTAGGAAATAAAGGATACAAATACAAGTTCGTTATCGCTCCGCTTATTCATGGCAGCAGCGCAAAAAAGATGGGTGCGGGTCACGTACCGTCAACCATGCGAGTCACGAACGATAGAATCGATTACATTCCTTGGGACGATCCAAACGAATTAGTGGATCGTCTGCGATTGCTGGACGCTTCGCGTCGAGTTGGCAACAACGCTCACAAAAACGAGATTCTATCGATAATCGAGGAGCTTCGCGAAACGGGAGCGATAGTATAAATCGAGCCGTCGCATCGACGATCGCCGTAGTTGTGCGTGGAATTCGCGATGTCCGTGAGCAAATTCGGCACGCCTTTAAAAAACCGCGGCTATGACGCGAGAACCGGAAGACTACGTCCGGCTATCGAATCTCTGCGAAATTACGTGCGCGATAACGCGCTGTGTCTAAACTCTTCCGTCGAATACGACGCGAGAGAGCGCAAGATAAAGCGTCTGGCTAAGCCGGAGGAGGACGCCGACGCGACGAGCAAAAGCTACGTTGAAGGAATTACGTCGCAATTGAGAAAAGACGCGGACGAAGCAGGGAAAGGCGTCATTCTACTATTCACGAGACTCACTCAGCTCGATAACGCTCTGGGTAAACGAATAGACGCCGCGGTGAGTTTTGTTTCCAAGATCGAAGCGCGCGACGACGTTTTGAGTAAAGTACGACAACCTGTATGGCAGGTGGATGTGGTCGAGATGCGTTCTTACGCGAGACTTAACAAAGGCCACAACTACATACTCACCGTTATCGACGCATTAAGCAAATACGCTTGGGCTATACCGCTTAAAAGCAAGAGCGCGAACGAGGTTACCCGAGCGTTATCTAAGATAGTGCGAGACTCTAAGCGGGGCGTCGATCGTCGAACGATTCAATCGCACGCTCAAAAATTCTATGTGGAAGTATTTCACGCTGAGCGGAACGTACAAGTGGATCGACGAATTACCTCGACTCGTCGAGGAATATAACGCATGAAAATATCGCACTATAGGTATGGGACCCGTCGACGTGACTCCAGCGATCGCCGATAAACTTTCAAATACGGTATACAGCAATATAAAAATCGCGACTCCGGCTAAATTCAAAGTAGCTGATCCAGTACGCGTCAGCAAGTTTAAGATGATCTTCGAGAAAGGCTTCACACCTAACTGGACCACCAAAATTTTTCGAATAGCCAAGATACAACGAACTAATCCCGTAACGTATTTGCTGAAGGATTCGCGCGGCGAACCGATCGCCGGAGGATTTTACGAGCACGAGTTGCTGCGCGTCAACGATCCCAACATGTATTTCGTGGAAAAGGTGCTGCGCCGAAGAGGCAACGAAGTTTACGTGAAATGGCTGGGAATGGACGAGTCGCACAATTCTTGGATAAATAAAACAGCGGTATTATGATAAAAATGTATTTTTATTAAATAAAACTACATATATTAAATATAACTATATATTAAATACAACTACATATATTAAATAAAATTATTCGTTAGAAAAATTATTATTTATTACATTCTCGATATATAACGTTTCCCTCGCTCCTTACCGCGGTATTTTATAATGCCCCTGTTCGATGCGCCGTGCATTCGTTGGAAATTTGGGCGTTGCACGTGCTCGAACTATGGCGGCAGAAGTTTTACCTCCCGGACCGCCTATTTTATTTCTCGCAATTCAGATCAGGAGTGGTGAAATCATGGATATGTAGATGACAATCCAAATAAATGCTTTTATTGCACTCAGCCAAAATAATTTTGGCTTATTACAAACAGATCAGAAAGAATACAAATGAAATTGAACTGGTTAGCACGTGTAATCGAGAAATACTGCCATGCACGACTGGCACACACTACCGGGACGGAACTACAGCGCCCCACAAAAGCAACCAGGCGCTCAGGAGCGTAGGATTAAACGCAAGGCTCCCAACAGCCCCCACGGTAAAGTATCCATAGTTCCTGATTTCACGTATCGTTTATCATCATGCGGGCTGAGCGCAACTTTCGACACCGTATACACCTCGTGTAACTTAGATCTTATGCAAGATTGTTCGCGCCTCATCTCGATTCTTTCTCGAAGACAGCGCGCATAATCTTCGAACGTTATCGTTCTCGCGACGACGCCACTCTTAACACCCTTAATTTTTTCGTATCGTCTCTACCTTCGACTTGTAGCGCGTACATCTTCGCTCTAAGCCCAACGAATTCCGTCATAAGCGCGCCGGCATTTTCGTCCTTCATAGCACCAAGTATTTTCTTATTAGCTAGAGGCATGCCGTACGCGTTGTCCACCGCGTAATCGCTCGTATCAAATCTGTCAATGTCGCGCTTCATATCTTCATACACATCCTCGCACTCGATGCAATAAATGAGGCTATCCGTATCGGTATACATTATTTTACATTTATCTCGATATAACGGTAGCATATACTCGTAATGAAATTCGTATAAACGAATTTTAGACACATCGAGAATACACATACCCACGTAAACCGGCTTGTTAAACTTAATCACGAGTTTGCGCAATTCTACGGCTACGAGATTCTCCGCGAAGACGCTTCTGCTATGAAAGTTCGGCTTCGCGATCATTGCCTCCGCGCCGTATCGCCCGTCCCATCGAGTAACCAGCCGGACATCCGAGTGATTGCGCACATTCTCCATAGTCTTACCGAACACGGCGTTATTCATCAATTTGTAAAGATTTTTCTCGAACTCGTTTTTCGCGTTAATTCGTAGTCGCGTGTTTAATTCGATATATCCGCGCAGCCATGGAGATTGCGCGAATTGTAATATTCTGTGTATCCTCGTAACACGTAATCCGTGCCGAATGCATTGCTGCAAATTGCGATAATATATTACGTAACGACTCTTATCGCACAGCGTGGCGACAAGTTTCTCGTCATGCTTTCCGGGCGGCTTATCGCGCATCGGGCAGAATGGCAAGTCCACGTGAGAATCGTGAAGGTTGGGCGGATACGCAAGGTCGACCTCTAGAATGTAACCGATAGGCGAGTTCGGTCTCACAGACATTAAGTTGATACTAGTGACATCGTCGACCCATCGAAAATCTTTGTAAGGTAAAGATTGACACATCGCCCATCCGTATAAATTATTTATATCGAAATACATGAGATAAGAAGACGGTTCCGAAGGATCGTAAGTCTGCAAATACTTGTTATTAGCGCGCGCGTATCTATTGGAGCATTGACTTAGCCCGCCGCGTATCCCGCGTTCCACGAACATCACCATATAATAATATAATATAATAACTCGAATCGAATATCCGTGTGCTTTAACATAGCGTCCCACGTATATCCAGGTAACGTGTAATAGTATGCGGGATCTAAATTATAACTTCTCATACACGCGTCGCGAAAATTTTCGAAGACATCGGCTAATAAAAGAACGTCGGTTTTTAAATACAAATCGCTATAGTCGCCCAACGTTTCGACGCGAAATCGCTCCAAGACTCTTATCGCGCGCGCGTAATCGCTCTCGGATATCGCGTCACCGGTCAGTGAACTATGGAAAGCCTATATTATCCACACTACGCGACAAATTTTTTAATTCGTACTCACCGATCGCATATATGCACTTTATGTTGTCTATTGCTCAGTTGCGATCCGATGAGTCGAGACAAATTCTTAATGCATGCGAAATGCGCCGTATTATCTAGTTGCGTCGTATCGCTCAGATACAGCAGATTAATGTGTCTGTCCTTCTTATTACAAGTGAGACGCAGAGGAACGATACGGCAGCTACTTTTCCCGTCCTTCTTATCTCGAACGGTATACACATTAATAGATATGTTGTTAATACGCTCGAATCTAGTAATTCCATTTAAACTCATGGGAAACTCGATACCCTCCAGATTCAGCACCGTCGAATAGTGAGGATACCGCGAGCTTCTCTCCGTGTTTTTCTCAACCGGATATAAAGCGGCGACTACGAAACACGCGTTATCCGTAGATCGCACGTTAATCACCGCTTTCTTCAACGCGATCTCTCGCAGTATCTGGACGTGACATCCGTGACATCCAGGATTATATTTATTCACATTCACCGTTAAATTTAGAATTCGCGATAACGAAGAGGTAGAAGCGGATAATTCTTCGTAGCGATAGTCTTAATATCAATCTTGTCACCTGAGACGAACTCACCGATAAACACGGTATTAACCTTAACACTGTTATATTCATCTATAGCATTGCGTACTCTATCGAGCACGGTATCTCTAGCATAGCATCTGCATCGCGAAGGTTCGATATAATCGAAGTTGATAACCGCGCCGGTTAAAATGCGTCTAGAGAAAGCTGTCTCCATCTCAAACCAAACCAATCCTTCGCGCCTCTCTACGCCGCCTTCCATGCGTTCGAAACGTAGACGCAGATCGTCTCTCGCGCCCGTCAATCGAACGGTTCGAGCGATCAGAGAATTGATCGCTCCGGTGGATCTCCCTCGGCGCTCGCCTCGAGACCCGTCCCGCAGAAACTCGAGACACTCGTCGCACCGTCTCGCCCACGCGCGATACGCGTCCACCGTTGAGATATTCCGCGCGCTATTAAGAAGATCGCGCTCCTCCATCGTTTCTCGATTCATCACTCGTCGTTTAACGAAAGCCAAGATCTTTTATTGATAAACCACGTCTCTTCCTCGTCGTAACCCTCGATATAGAACAAAGCTCTCGTCGCGCAGCCGTCGCACCAATTATTCGACACGTCGAAGACTTCGTCGATAAGATCGCAGGCGGGCACTCTCTCGCTATACACCGATTTTTTCATATGCGTCGATACGCTTCTCACGAAGCTCGATCTATGCGCGCATTCCACGCAATATCTCACATCTTCCTCGAAATAATTTCCGTTCTCGAATTGGCAACCGAATGTATAGAAGCAATGCACGACGTGATTCACCT